ACTCAAAGCAGAATACCACACTCTAGACAATCAAGATGCTCACAGCTAAGCAGGGAGTGTCTGTCAATAGCTACTGCATTCACAGGGCCGACATGCACTTACACCGATGTACAGATAGATAAACTAATACCATGCTCCTAAATGACTAGGGTTCATTTCTTATGTACAATATGTACATTGTACAAGATGTACAATAACCCTTTCATCTTCTGGGGCCCTCAGCACAGGAGGGATGAGGAGTTGCTGGAGAGGGCAAAGAGGAGAACCACAAAGATGGTCAAAGGAGCACCTCTCCTATGAAGATAGGCTGAGAGAGATGGGCTTATTAGCTTGAAAAACAGATTGCTCCAGGGAGACCTCATTGTGGCCTTCTAGTACTTGAAGGGAGCTTATGAATAGGAGGGGGACTGACTTTTACATGGCCCAGTAGTGATAGGACAAAGGGGAATAGTTTTAAAATAAATGAGGGGGGATTTAGATTAGATATTAGGGGAAAATTATTTACTCAGAGGGTGGTGAGGTTTATGGACACCAGGGGCCCAGAGAAGCTGTAGATGCCCATTCCTGGAGGTGTTCAGGACCAGGTTAGATGGGGTCCTGGGAAGTCTGATGTAGTGGGTGTCAACCCTGCCAATTGGCAGGGGGCCGGAGCTCAGGGGTCATTATGGTCCCTTCCAACCTAAGCCACTCTATGATTCTATGATCTGAACTTGGAAGCCAGTTCTAAGAAAGAGTACTAAGAACAAGCTCAGAACAAAAAAAAACCCTTGTTTTATCACAAAAACCTATAAATAAAAAAATATAATGTATTGACACTCCAGTGTCTCTAGTAGAGCTCAATCAGCTGTGATCAGAATTAGTCTCAATTCCAATGCATTTGATTAGGAAAGAATAAGGAGACAGTTTTAACAAAACAGAGGAAGAGTCTCCAGTGCTATTGCTACAGTTGGCAAATTCACACAAGAACAGAAGGCACAATACCTATAACACCTGAGAAGATATTCCCTCATAAAAAATTAAAAATGTAGTAGTAAAATCAGTTTGAATGACAACCACATTAAGAGTTGTGACTTTTAGGCTTTCCTTAAACAACAGGATTCTACAAGGAAGCAGCAAAATGCCATGGGATTTTAGCCCAGTTAAATGAAGGTCTGAATGGGGAGGCCAGTCATGCAGTGGGACAGAAAGTGGTGATATCTGCGTGGTGACCACCTCTGGTTTCATAAGGACCATGTCTTGCTATTTGGCCTGAAGCAAGCATGCTGCTTTGTCTGCAGGCTTGGGCACTGTTGCGAGGGAACAACTGAAAGAGATGAAGTCCTAGGGCAGTAAATAAGAACTGATGGTATGGCTGTATTCATGCTTATTTTCAGCTCAGTGACCTGTGAGCAGGTCTCATATAAGATATATTTACAGTGGTGTAACATATGCTGACCTTGAGAACTGGTAAGCACCCAACTTTCAGTGATTTCAGTGGTCGTATTGACACGAGTAAATGAGGCTTATCCACAGCCAAAGCATTTGAGCTGGACTGCATATATTTCTTACAAGACACTTCATTTTAAGCAGGAACAAGAAAACTCATGTTTGAAGTTGATAATCTGTTAACACACTGCAAAATGCCAGAAACACCAAGATTAAAAGGGCAGAAAAGACACAATATGTTTGTCACGTGATACAGTTATCAGGAAACATTTTAGAAAATTTTCCCTCCAAAAAGGCTGGTTCACCAAAAACAAAGTAATTTGCCAGGAAATGTGTTAGATCATTTTCCATTAAAAAACAACAACAAAATAAACAGTTTAGAAATTGCTGAAACATTATATTTATACATTGTCAATATGAAAAAGATTTAATTTAAAGTTCAAATATTTTTTCCAAATTCTATGTACAAAATGTGTACAAAAAAAATCAAAATCAAAATGAAATATTTTACAATTATTATTATTAAAGTTGATTTGATTCACCTACTTAGACCATTTTCTTATAGCAGCTAATTGTGAACCCACAAACAAAGTCTCTCAATTATGGCAAAGAATAGGTATGTGAAAGATATAATGCTGGCAAGATTTACAAAGAGGTATTAAACACAAAGCAAAAAAAAATGTTCTAAATAGCAATAAAATATAAAGCAGGTCATCTCTAATTTCTTCTGGGTGAAATAGAATGCAGTGCACTTGTTGGACCCCGGAATACTACAAACAAGAAGGGTATAGATGCTTGGAAAAGGATGTTCTTGCAAAACTGTCAGTGAGTAGCCAACAAGAGTATCATATATATACAACAGCTCACACAACTGTACTCAGTACCTGGAAGAGGATTATATAGAAGAATATTGCCAAATTAACTACAGAGGACAGATTTATTGCACTTGAGGGGGGATCTGTGAGTTGTCCTCCACATCTGGTGGTCAAGGAAGCATCTCTACCTGCCAATATGCCACTTTCCTCATGTCCTTATGTGCACAGCCCAAAAAAACTGGCATCTCCCTCAGTTGGGTCATCATTTTATTTTTGAACTGATAAGAATACTGCCAATCAAGTACTCAGAAGTCAACAGGTAGCAAGGACGTAAAATGCCCAGTAATTAAAGAATCTATTTTTTAGTAAGTTACTTATTTTGTCTTACTCTTACTTACAGAATGTTAAGTGAGGTCATGGAGCTGGACTCTGATGTGAACAGTCAACTCATGACAGTGACCACTAGCAATAGACTGTGAATTAAGTAGCAAGGTAGCATTCATTTTGCACGTTTTCTCATGTGAATGTCTGTAGTTTGGTGAACATTCCTAAGCTTGATATTGAATGTCATTTGCCAGAAAATAAAAGGATTAATAACAGTCATGTGGTAAAATTCTACCTCTTGGGCAAAGAGTGGTCTAAATGTGATATAATATTAAAAGTATATGTGCAAGTTAGTAGCATACTTGTAAAAATAGTCACTGGTAGCTTTGTATCAAAATAGAATATTCATACTAAACTCTTTAAACTAAACTGTTATTACAATGTCAAAAAGTGTTATTAAACATTTGTTCACATTAAAAAATCTGCTGTTCCAACAACCAATATTTATAAGTTCAGCATTTTCACCATGCAGTTACTAATATCCTGCTCATTGGTTGTATGTTCCATTCTATCTTGAGTGTGCCTTGAGCATCCTAGATCAGGATTTTCTATCTCAGAGATACAAAAATATTCAAGCCAGAACCCTCTAATTTACCAGCATTATGATTTTACTGGGTTATTATGTTATTACAGAGAAGAACATATAGGTAAACTTACTATCTTTGCTACCAAGTTTGCATTCTGAGTCCCTGCTGAACTTGTCAATGCCTTTGTAAGTACTTGCAATGTTTTCTACTGCAAAATGAATTCCAAAAACCAGCAAAAACAAACAAACAAACAAAAAAAAAACTGAGCACAGTCTAAATGTAATGATTTATTTTAAAAATTATTTAACTGAGCACTTGTTTTTATGACTAATTCAGCCTTTACTGAAGTATTCTAGTGGATACACACTTCAAAAGAGTGCTTCAATTTTGCTTAGTCAAAAAAGAGAGAGAGGGACTTAAATGGAAAAGCAACTTCCTTGCAGAAAAGTCCAAGAGGAAACACATGAAAAACATTTAATTTATTCACTCCTGGTATTTCCCTAAAATCAAATGTTAAGGATTAGACTCTCATTTGACAGCTGTGAGTCACATCTGCAGAAAAAAGTAAACAAAACGCATGCAAAGGTCAGGCAAAATTACACACAGTATCTAAAAAAATATTTTCATATTATTTATCAATAGTCCAAGATCCTTAGCCTAATAGATTCCAGCCTACACTTCTGAACTTCCCTAGAAGACACAGGAATCAGTAATGAGTGTAGTGCTAGCAGAAGTACTACTAAGATGAAGGCAGGCATGGCATTCTTCCCTGTTGCTTCTTCTGGAGTTGAAAAAAATTTCTTTTGAAACAGAGAGTTTATTTTGACAACAAAATTTCCAGGGGAAATACAAGGTCTGATGAAATTATATGGATATTAGGACAACAATTTTGCCTTAAAAATCTGTAATTAGCCAAATTAAAGGAGCCGAAATCTCCTTTTAACCACATTTTAAAGCCTAGCATCTTTTCTGAATTTTGTTGTATTTTTTTCCCTGACAACTCAACTAACGATGCATTATATAAGCCCATAACTAAGAGTTTCTACTATTTTCCATTTTGAGCTGATCACTTTTTAGCATATTTTTCTTGTTTTCTAACCATTTGTGTACCTACAGACAAAATCAAAATTAGAAGATGCATTTTGTATGTCCAGGTTTGAAAATTAGGATAAAGGAGCTAAAATCTAATGCATTAGGGTGCCATTTACTTCACTGCATTACTGAGAAACAAAACAACAACGCAGTACCATCTTACTGTAACTTTCTGGTTGCAAATCAATTTGCCAGCAATGAACCACCTCTCATCTGTATGAAATAAATGTTATTTTTTGTCTAGATAGATTTTGCATGTTTGCCACAGATCAGCTATGAACTACTTACATAAATCCTATGAACACAGTATGAACATAAAATGCTACCATCTGCAGTTTAAAGACACCTCAGTTTTAAAGCTAGGGTATTTATGCTCCCGACCTTTTTTATCATCTGAAAACCCATCAATAGCTTCATAATGATGAATGCAACGTAGACCAGTTTGCATTTGCAAAATTCACTTTTAGAAATGGCAGACATGGGTCAGCACATCTGGAAACCACTTTTAATTATACTTTCCTCAAGTGGGAAAGCAGTAGCTTGTGCCCATAGTGAAGCTTTTATATCTGACCACACAAATACTAGCAACCACCTGTGCTTTACACTGATTTTCATTATAGAGTATATCATATTACTACCCTATTATTCCAGAACGACATTTGAAGCCGTTGTGTGACTAAGCTGCAGCAAGTGTGGTCTCTAAAAGGCCTCTACTCTACAAAAATGTAATAAATTTGATTGCAGTTTGGGTACTTACCATGAGGGTATCACAATGATCATGCTCCCAAGATTTGCTTCTCTTGCTCTGAAAGTCATAAAAGATATACATTAACAATCATGATTACTGGTCGGAGAATTGGAATTTAGTGAACTAATATATACCCCCAAATGAGATATCATTTAAGCTTTTGGAACTCCTTTTCAATATTTGTTTCATTCCTACTATTACTATATGAGTGTTATAGTCAAAGACTCTGCTTCTTCAGCCATACTCCAAGATTACAAAAAGCTATTTCAACTGTGATCTCTGAGTCTAACGGTATTTCAATTCTGTTATAAATATTTTCATTGATTGCAGACATTGAGTTAGATGATTAGCTTGGGTTTTCGAAACTTAATCTTCCTCCTCTACTTCCCCCACTCAGCACAAACCAAATGTAACAGGTTTTTTACATCACTATTCCTATTTACTAAGAACAACAAAAAGGATGTTTCAGATTTCCATAAAATCTTTTTCTTCTTTACAACACTCCTTGCATGTTTTGGAAGAGTATAATGTTGACATGCAAAATTCAGTATATCACAGTGGAAGGGCAAGGCTGAAAATTTGTAATGCTCAACCCCCAGGAGACCTGGCACACCCTGGGACAGTCTTGTCAGAAACAGACACCAGTATGTGCAGTTTTGCAAAGGGTAAAGTGCTCAGTTTTACAGACTATATTTCAGCATAATTTGCTATTCTGACTGATACTATGTGTATGTAACTAAAAAATCAAAATATTGCCTTAGAATACTTTAATCTGTTTGTCAGTTACCATGCTTAAAGAAAAGTCTTCACAATGTTTTACATCTGAAAAACCACATCCTCTTGCCTAGTGTCTTCAGCCTTTAATTCAGGAGGTAGGTTTTGTGGTAAGACACGAAGCCACAGAGGATCCCCCTCGGGATAAAACCCTTTCCCAGCACACTGCCCATGTAACCGCCTGCTGCCAAGATTTCTGGAACTACAGCTGCATGAAGAGCATCCCACTTTGGGAGAGGTTCACAGCAGAGCTGATGTCAGAATTGCGAGGCAGTCTTTTCTGTCTGCCAGCAGGCAGAAAAGTAACCCATCTGCAATCGTGATGGCCTTGGCTTGCTTGGGCCCTCCTGCCACACTCAGCCACTCCAGTGCTGCCAGCACAGAGGCATCCCGGTGCCTCCATCTCACAGCCACTGCTGCTGCCCATGGGGCTCTCCAGGCCAGAGGAAGCAGCGAGGTTCCCTGCCATGAGCCCACTTCTGGCCATCTCAGAGCCATCGATATGACTCCAGCTGGAATTTAAACTTTCACCCAACTACTATGTACTCAAATAATGTGCAGGAGTGTTCCCTGAGTTGCATAGGTAATATCTGCAAAAATATTCATAATATTTTAAGAGATTGAATATGCTAACAGTCCATAATCCCACAGCTGTGAAAGTATAATCTGATTGCATGTTGCAAATACATTTGTTGTACATGGCATAATATTCCTCCTACAATCATATAACCTGTGGTTAGCAACCTACAGACTAGGTTGCTAAAAAAATTTTTCATTTCTGTGAATTAATTAAACCTGAAAGAAAAAGGGATAGTGGTCTACTTGGAAATGCAGGCACATTGCAAATATAACTCGTTAAAGGCTTTCCAACTCAATATGCTGGCAAGTTAAATGAAGCATTCTACTGTACTCTACAAAAGATATAAATCTGCTTTTCTATTTGAATAGTAAGATGTCCTAAAATAAATGTAACTGAAAAAAAAAATGATGTCTGATTAAGAAAGTGATAGATCTAGCATGTAAATCCATTTTGTATTGGACACAGACTATCTAATGCAGCACTTCAGTAGGGAGACACTAGCAGGCAGGTAGCTGCACTTCCTGAACTCTGATTGAATCCGCAGTACTAGTGGAGGTAATGAAGGTCAGCTGCAAGACTAACTTTTGGAAGAGAAGAAAGACAATGAAAAAGACTGCATATGGGCAAAAAAAGGTCTTGGGCATTTGCTCCTCCGCAAAGCCAGGGAGAGTACTCAAGCCTTTTAGTCAGCAAACCTTCCTCTTTGAGGAGTGACATTGAAACCGAGAGAGAAGCCCAGGGAGGATGGCAGTGCCAGCCCTGTTGATGCAGCAGGGAGGGAAGGGACAAGGTGCAGCTCCTGGCAGGCCACACCAGACCAAGCATGAGATCCCCAAAGCCACACAGTCAGGGAGGGTTTTCCCTGGTGACTTCAACGGGCTGAGATCAGGCTGTTGTCTGTATGCATCTTTACTATCCCACTCATAACGCTGTCATCATGAGCTTAAGGATGTGACTGGGAAGGAGAGCAGAAATGTCTTTGAAGTCCTGAAATATATCCCGGATCCTGGATATCTGCCATTTTACAACATAGGAGCTGAACGCACTCTGCCTTAGTGGCAGGTTAGCCGTTGGGAAGCAAGGGAAAAACCCAGCACGGATACATCCTGCCTGCCTACTCCCCCCAGGCATGGGGCACTCTGGGTGTACTGGCACAAGCCCCACCTGGCTGCCAGCCGGGCGCTCTGCCCCGAGGCCCAGCTGCTGCCTGGAGAAGCACCTGGCTGAGGTACGGGTCACCCAGGCAGGCACTGTGCCTGGCCCCAGCGGTGGAAGGCCCCAACCGCCTGGAGCAGCGCTGACCCAGAGCCCTTCTCTTATGTGGAGAGAGCCGGTGGGAAGCGCTGAGGAGCCCTCACTGCTCTGTTGATCCCGCCCAGGGAGCTTGGCTGGCCTAACAGTGGATCATTGTTCTTGATTAAAAACACTATTTTTGCGCAGTAATAATTTAAAAGCCCAGCAGAATATTATTTTGTGGTTGTGGCAGCAATTTGTCAGTCAAAACAAGTGTTGTAAACTGTTCAGGTTTGGGAGAGAGTGAACAGATGAAGTAACAACAAAAACCACTGACTGCACGCGCAGCCTCTATGCAGCCGGTGCAATTCTACCTGTGTTTTTAAATCACTGGGCCATAATCACAAACCAAAATCATAATTCTAGTGAAAAACCACATATGTGCTGATGTGGAGGGATTTCATTAGCACGCCATATTAGTGCATCCTGCAAGCAGTCTGCATGTTTCATTCTCCTGTTTGCAAGAATACAGAGCAATTCAGACCAAAAAAAACAAAAACAAAAACAAAAACAACAACAACAACAACAAAACAAAAAAAACACAACAAAATAAAATGGAAAACAGAGCAAGAAAGAAATTAAGAGAATTTCTGCTAAATTGGATTTTCTTGTCTCTTTCTGTAATTTTTATCACCGAGATGACAAAACATTATCATTAGCAGTTTATGCCAAAAGTTAACATTCGCCATCATTTTTATTTTTTTCGAACCACAAAGGTTGGAGCCTGCTATGCACTCCCTTTATCTTCATCTGTTACTTTAGAATCTAAGAGCGCACTGTGCCCATTAATCTTTCATGGCAGAGTTCACTGAAGTTCTGCCAAAATTCAATAATTATATTCCATCCAATGCAGCAATTTATTTATCTCATTGCTGGAATTTAGAACATATAGAAGAAAGTGCTTAGTTTACATGAATGAAAAGTTTGCTTCAAAAACAACAGCAAAAAACTGCCCGGTTTCATTTCTAAAGTTTTAAAACATGCGGTAGAATCTATAGAAGAAAAAAGCTATTTCTACAAGTCCTCATGCTATCATGATAAAGTAAGAAGTGTTCTACAATGTTAACTCTTTTCATATAATTTACAGTATTTTACAAATACCTTTGTAACTTTTATTCAAATGTATAATGACACATATTTATACTGTACCACTAAAACATGCTGTTCACAAATGTTTAACAGTCATTAAAAATGTCAGCTACAAAAAACAATAATTTATATTTTAAATGTAAAATTCCTTTTTTTTTTTTTTGTTTATTGCACTAGAATAGTGTTCTGAGCAGTAAAATCTAATATAAAGAATTAGAGAAAAGTTAAGCTTTATAATTGTACTCCTTCATGATATGTTTGCAAACAAATAGAAAACATAAAAACCTCCCAGTAGGAAGATTCGAGACACATTATTTCGGACAGCTGTTAAAAATAAAAATGCCATAATGCAGATTACTTAGTATGTTTCACCTTTTATAGTCTCAGGAGAAGTAGCTAATCAGTCTTTTTCCAGCCTAGCTGCAATAAAATATTAATCTACTGGCTTAGTATTGAAGAACAGAATATAGTATCTATATATTTTCAGCTTTATACCTCAAAATTTATGAATGCAGACTGTTTATTTACGTGATAGAAATGCGACTTGTGCATATATTCGTACAGAAAATATATTTCCTGATGTAGAAAAGCTCTAATTTAGTACACGCAATCAAAAGCCAAATTTATAATGTGGTAAGATTTATGTAAAACTCTCTGTTACTTCATATATTAAATTTTACACATCGGGCATGCTATCAAGACAAAATTTGACTCCAGATTTAAAAAGCCTTCAAAAAGTTTTTGGAGCATAACTTGCTTTGATTTATAACACAGCTCTTCAACAATCAAAACAGAACCCAAAACCTCTGGAACTAGTGCACTAGCAAGCGTTCGTTATTTCACAGTAAAACCTCCTAGGTAAAACTAGGAATACCACAAGAAAACATGTTACAGTTATAGTTTTGCAGTAACTAGATGAGCATATGCATATTTGAAATTAAGTGCACCTAATTTAATAATTCATGAGAAATTACTTTCACACATTGGTAAATAAATTTCGCAATGATTTGCTAAAATTTTACTGTCACATTTACTTTAGCCTTCAACCTGATCATTTTTCACAGTACTTTACATGAAAATATGATTCACCTGTGATGTATTTCTCCCTGTCGTAAAACTTTTAAAATGTCCCAGAAAAATGAAGTAACTCTTATTCACATTACTTTAGTTTGCTCATTTTCTACATCTTTTTTTTTTTTTTTTTCCAACATTTTAATTTTGTCTACTTTCTTTCACTGCAAATGATACGTGCTACAATTAAACTCAGAGGAGACTTCATGGAGATTCAGTCTCCTGCAAGGTAACAATGAGCAAACCCTCC